GTGTGTGTGTGTGTGTGTGTGTGTGTGTGTGTGTGTGTGTGTGTGTGTGTGTGTGTGTGTGTGTGAGGGAGGGAGGGGGGCGGCCTCAGAACCCCGCCGTCTTAGGGTAAACATTGGACCCACCAAGAGAAAACGCCTGGGAGAGAAGCGTCCTTGTGGGAGCTGTCTCCCTGGCAGCAGCTGGCCCTTCCATCCGGGTATTCCTTTTGCCCATGCAACACACACACACACACACACACACACACACACAGACTCACGCGGGGAATATTAAATTTTTTCATGCGCGGAAAAGATAATTTTGTCTACATTTGCGCGGTAATTTGATCATTCTTTTTTTTGAATACCTATCATGAAGATAGGGTTAATATGGTAACAGTGGTTATCAATACTGCATTGGGAGTCAGCTGTTAACAAACTGGAAATCATGTAATCCTTTGCAGGAGATCCCCGGCGTGGTAGTATTGTAAGCATCCTTGATTGGCGCTTTGGCGTTCACTTTCACTTTCATATTTTAAATTCGAACGTACGAACAGGTTGATTCTATGGAAGTATTGTTTATCTGTGTATAGCTAATCTACGGACGGATGATGAAGCAAGTGCGCGGAAAGGTCAAAAGAATTTTATGCGCGGAAGATGATCTAAAAAAGAAAAAATAAAAAAAAATAAAATAAGCGTGCGCGGAAAAGTTACCCGAGTTACATTTGCTCGGACAAAATTTTACCAAATTTTTTTTGCACAGACCAAACTCGTCTGGCGTGACACACACAAAAAATATATAGGTATGTATATATATATATATATATATATATATATATATATATATATATATATATATATATATATATATATATGTATGTATGTACATGTATACACACACCTATATGTGTGTGTGTGTGTTTCCGTTTATGTTTTTGTATTTGTGTGTATAGGTATCTGTGTACGTATGTGTGTATGTATTGTGTATTTGTGTATGATTGCCTTTTGTATGTGGACCTGGGTGCGTACGTGCATGCGTGCGTGCGTGTGCGTGCGTGTGTGCGTGTGCGTGCGTGCGTGTGCGTGCGTGCGTGCGTGCGTGCGTGCGTGTGCGTACGTGCATGTGCGTGCGTGCGTGCGTGTGCGTGTGTGTGTGTGTGAAGACATACACATTAATACTTTTATATACACATTTATACATATACATATTTTGCAAATATACGTTTATATACATATTTACATACATATATATACATATATATATATATATATATATATATATATATATATATATATATATATTCGTACATACGCATGCATGCAAGTTTTAGCTCCTCCAAACTCCTCCATCAGGTATCATCAGAGTGAAATGACATACACATTTTAAGTTTCTGATTTCTTAATAAGGTCGTATTGTTTTGATATAATCTAACATCACTTTTTTTCTTACGGTTCTAAGACTTTTTAATAATGTTCTTAAATCACTGATACACATTCAGACTGCTTCACCCCCCCAACCCACCCCTCCCGCCACCGTATATGCAGACAAGACGGCCCAGACAGAACACAGGATACACCTTCGCTCTACACGGAAGTTAAGAAACAACACCAGTATTTCAAACGTCTGATCGTCCACAGGAAGACGGTTACACTGTCTATAGATTTCGCTGGAATCCATAGATGATCAGTGGAACCAGCCTAACCATCCATGTTGCTTACACTTGTTACAATGTAAACTATCGGCCGAATCAACTACCGTTACCGAGTCAACACGAACAACGCAATGGAAGGAGTACCTATCTTCTTCATTCCTGCTACTTTGACAGCCAAATATATGTGTAAGAGAGAATAGTCTTAGTATTTTTCAGTGTTGGTGTGAAGAGCTTCGTCCAGTGTTTTGATTTTTACCACACGTGTGCATATACTTAAGTCAATCAGTCAAAAGTATATTTATAAATACCTTTAGTTATTGCTACACATATATCAAATGAATCATAGGATTTTGTACATGTATTTTTTCAAATCATATATATTCATAATGATTTATAATAAACGAGATCTACCGGAAGTGAATCAATGAAACCGAGCCTGTATCTCAATACTACTACCTTATGCAGTTATTTAGCATAGCATCTGCGGGGAATTGTACCGGGTCTGTCACACCTGAATACCCTGGTTTAATTAACAGTGCCATTGTGTAGTGTATATTTGATATGGCTTCTTGGCCTTCCTCAATTCTCGGTTTTCGTCTTACCCCATTCTCGAACGCGGGAGAGGCAACACAGATACCCAATACTCCCCTGGAGCTTTACCACTCTCAGACACAGAAATGCAGGATTCCTCACACTTAATAACAATATGCTAACACTTCACTTATGCCATGTCGACTGTACTGGTTTTGTTTTGTGAATTCTGTTGACAGAGATGGTTCCATTAGAGTCAATTAGTAAGCCACGTGACACGCCAGAATGTCTCTTTCCTTTAATCATCGACTTTCTTCTGATACGGTTAATTTTGAAAACATATTATTATTATTATTAACATTGACGCTGTGGTACTGTAAACAACACATGGTAATAAATAATAGCAAAGAATATTTCAGAAATAAGTTAAATAGATGGACTAGGTAAGACTAGTAATCGACTCCTTGGTACCTATGTGTGTAAACGCAATTGTGAAACTAAAATCCCAGTGGACGTGGCCTGTACTGTCAGGAGCAAGAGTCTAACTTCAGCCTACAACTTGACAAATGTTTTTACAAACGTTTTCGTCTTAGATGCAGTATTTTTCAAATCAAAATTGCTTCTCGGACGCAGAAATTATTTTTTTCACGACAGCTTCACTTACTTTTTTTTCTACATACAGTCCCGTTTAATTGAGAGTTTGTCTTTGTTCGCTTGATAAAATCGCAAACGTTTCATTCGTTTTATTGCATTATAATAGAAACGTTCGGCATCAGCATATTATTATTCTATAGAAAACAGAATTACTTTGTAATACTTGGTACTTGGAAATACTTGGTAATTTTGCTGCCTATTATTTATCTGGATAGGGATATCCTAAAGAATGCAGATTTATTTCGACAAGAGATCACCACAATCGCAACTCATTGCCACCTATCATGTCAGAGCTAGACGCAGATGAGACTTTTAAATAGTTTGATGGTAAAAAGTTTGAGATGTTAAATACATAGATGGTATCTACTGGCATAGTCCCACATGCTTAGATTACAGCATTATGGGATTACTGAGATTAGCGTGTTCTCCTTGAGGGCTCTCCCTTGACCCCGACTCCTCCCCTCGCGTCCTTCAAGGCACTTCCTTACGTATTATGAATGACCGATACAGACACATAACTCCCCTATTTTGCGTTGACGAGTTTATTCTATTCGTTCATATAAACTAGCGACGACTGCAGACCAGGGTTGCCACCATTACCGCAAATGCTACGAATGCGACGTTGATTTCGGCGTTGGTGGGAGGTCGTCAGCAGTGATTAGCTGTATATCACGATGCAAGAGTTTATACAAAATAGCAATACAAGTGACAGATATGCAAAATTTAACGTAAGTACAGACCTTGTTATGGTAAATAAATGTTACAGACATCTTAATCCGAAGTTTAGGCGCCATCAGCGCGTTCGTGTGGTTTGCGGTAATGGAGGAGACTCTGAGCGTCTTTGTAACCAAGGTCTATATAAGTACAGGTCTCGTCACTAGTTCTGCGCAGCTTTCCTATGACGTCACCTGGAAGGAGCTTTAGAGCATGGTAGGCAGGGACATAGATAATAGAAAATGGTAGTAAATGAGCAGATACTTGAGTAATTTCAATGTCGGCACGTTGAACGATTTACATATTGGACATGTTTTGCAGGCGATGATTATCAATTGTTTGTAGGCCTATATCCGTGAATTTAGTTTTGTAATTCATATGTTGCAACTGACATGCATAATAAAGACGTAAAATAAATAAAAAAGACATGGCTTATGTAAACGCCAAATGTTTTTGATGAATTTATTATAAAACGAATCATACAACAATAACAATAATAATGATAATAATAATAATAATAATAATAATAATAATAATAATGGCAATACATAAACATACACATAAATGTACATATATAAGCTGCAACCAACCACTGGGCATTGTGACTTTGCGCGCGCCTGTCAGTCAAGCGAGCGAAAACGGAGAGAGGGAGAGATCCTTACGGCTCTGCCTCACATCAAAGAATGACCAGCGATTAGCGTGGAACCCCCAGGCTCTGCTCCAGATGACGTCATGCGCGAGACGGACAATAGTCCCTTAGTGACGAGACCTGTACTTATAAGACCTTGTTTGTAACGTCCTTAACTTTTAATACCGTATTTAGTTTAGTCCTAATCCAACGTGTCCGTACCGAAGACGACAATCTCCGCTGCCAGACGGCGCGACAATAATGTTCAGTAAAAACTGTCGTACTCATTATTCTATCACCACCGTTATCATGTAAACATGTCGGAGAGAAATGTCGCTCGTGAATTCGGTCTTTCGGGAGATTTCTTTTTTTTTTCTCTTTTTTCTTTTTGTAATGGCATGTTTTGGTAATCATATTTAATTAAGAACCTATTTTAGACATCCCTAAGGTTTCAAAATTATAATTTTTAATGTGTATTTCATGAAACTATGACATTTTTTAAAATCTCTGCACTGCTTTGCCCCCAATTGTTTAAAGTGCTCTGTAAATAATAATATAAACTTCTCAGTTGCTTCTGAAGACCACCTTTTCCTTCTCTTCATCCCAGACGTTCCTACATGATTGAAGACAAGCCATTAAAAACATTCATATTATGAATCAATTCTTTATACCTCCTAATGTTCTCAAAACGGAAAACTAAGACTAGCATATTAAAGTAAGAAAGTTCGTACCTCTATTTTCTGTACACATTTCTTCAGGATTATCTGTTTCAAATATGATTTGTTCGGAATCCTGTGTTAATGGACTGTCTCTTAAAAACTTATATTATTGTGATGTTCCTGGTCTGTGAAGTAATGCCCTCTGCTGTTGATGTAAAGGTCCTGCTGGTCTCGGATTTCGGGCGTGTGGGAATCGGTTTTCTCAAATCTAAAGGGTGGGAGCTGTCTTTTTATTGCTGAAAAATCTGTGGTACATTGAAACGTTTCTGTGCAATGTTTCTCTCCACACATAACTGTTGCATGTTGTGTAGGGTAGCGTTTGAAGCAAGTCATGCACTTATACCTGTAAATAAGTAACAAAATCAATCAAAAGATTATTCAACACTCACCCTTCATGTCCCTACATAGATGATATAGAAGACAATATTAAAGATATTACCTAAAGATTTGCTTGTATAAAATTTACTTGGATAAATTTGCATTCAGATACTACATTGATAAAAGATTTTTCTGACAACTGATATTCATTTTTTATAGATTGGAGAGAAGGTGATTGTTATAGAAAGTTGTAGTCAGTCACTCAAAATGCAGTTTGATATTCATATGATAATTACGAGGCACAAGTAGGCCTACTTATGAGGGAAACATTATTATTTATGAAATATTCTATTTTTCATGATGACGATCTTATATTTGTAGTAGTAAAATGGGTATAAAACCTATATTTTTTTTCAATGGCACTTAAGTACAAAATTGGCATTAACCAATCAATAACCATCGCGCAGTTTTCTCGGACAGCTCGCTGCTGCGCTGAATCGTGTTGGACGAGGGAAACGTGTTTTCTTCAGGATGCTGTTCACGCGGTCCATAGGAAAGTATACTCGCTAATTTTGTAGTAAAGTAATTGAGAAAAACTCAGCACATAATTCTTCTTTGAAACACTGGTTCATATTTGATTTAAAACGTCAACTTGTGTGACCCTGACCATATATTTTTTTTTTTGGTTTCACTAACGGAAATACGAGTTCCTTGCCCGCAGCCTCCGAACTTCAAAGATTCCTCGTGGAATTATATTGGTTTTTATATTCATCATCATAAGTCATTTCCTTTATTAGAATTTCTGATCAGCTGTGTAAATATATACAATTTCATTTTCAGAATAAGTATTTAGTATGAAAATCCTAAGACGATCGGTGTTATTGCCGAAAATAATTCTAAAAATGGCAACTCAAGCGATGGCACCTTTGAAGTTCATACCGGACTCATGGCGTAACAGTACATGATTGGTAGGATTAACTTGTCCCTTCTGCGCATGTGCAGGATTTTAAAATGCGCTTAATATTAAAGCCTGGTCCAGAGGTGCATTAATAGTTGATCCTGGACTCTGCCAATACGCATGTACATTAGAGATTTGGATTAAACTTTAATACTGGATCAACTTTTATGGCACGTACAGAAGACGCCCTTTGTAGACTACGCCAAGAGGATTTACCCTCCTTAGAACAATAGGAACAAATATGAAATTTAGACGACAAATGCAAAATGTCTTACCGGAGCACATTCACACGCACATCATGTATTACTATAAACTATTACTATAAATAACCACACACTTAAATATCTGAGTATCCTCTTAACATCTAGCATCAGATTTATGCCATACTTAATTAACATCATAATGCAGATAACGTTCCTTCAAAAAATTTTAGTCTTGTACTGCAACATAACGCTCAAACATTAAAAGAACTGCAAGGCTTGTTCCCAACAATTACTGGCATCGCAACAAATATTAGAATGCATTAGCAGAGACGAACTTAGATGGGAATATGATGTATTAAGCAATTGCATCGACATCGGCAAATAGGCTTACTTACAACCCTTCCAACTCTTAAAATAGTTGTAGCTCACACCCTAAAATACAGTATATATTACACTAGCAAATCCGCACAAGCATCCCTTTCTTTCTACACACCTTTCGTGACTGAAACGCACTGCACAACGTGTTATCGACAAGTTACACAAGCACCTCGCAGTCAGTGCACAACATCAACACATTTATTTATTCCCCCTTTTCTTTCTTGCTCTTTTCAATCATGTACGTGTTGTGTAATCACAAGCAAAGGGATGGAGTGTTACTTTTAGAATGAAGTATCAAATAATGTTAACGATAGAACAGGTTCCAGTATCAGGAAGGGTAACATTATATATATATATATATATATATATATATATATATATATATATGTTATCCATCTTTTATTGCAGATGGATAACAATATCTCTTCCTTATCCAGATCAGATTTGGGGCTGTAATAAGGGAAAAGATAGATGTTGAAAAACGTGTTAAAATAACCCCTTATCAACATTATTTTTCTTCACTTGCAGATTAAAGAACACTGCACTCTGAATTAAGACGGAAAACAGGAAAAACAAGCAGACATCATAATGGGTGCAGGTGAGTGCTGTTCGCTTTTATATATTCCTGGGCCGGTTCTTATTCATCTGATTTCTTTAATAGTTTCCGTCCTCTTCTACTTTGTTTTTACTTGTCATTTTCTCATTCTTTCTCTCTGTTTCTCTCTATTTATTTATCTATCTATATCTCTCTCTCTCTCTCTCGAACTCTTTCTTCCTTTTTTCTCTATCTTTATCTATCTTTTTCTGTCTCTCTCTCTCTCTCTATCTATCTATCTATCTATCTCATCTCTATCAACCTCCTCATTTCTATATTTATCTCCCTCTGCAAAGCATCATTAGATTTTCCTCTTTTTTCATCCTGAAAAAATCCTCTAAACATTTTCTCTAGTGTAAGTCTCTAAATGTATTTGTTGAATGTTTCTTTATCAGTTGGGTAGATGAAACGTGTCAAATGCAAATAGGTTATTGACTTCTGCTGTCCATTAAATGATTCCTTTCCTTGTGTGTGCTAGTGCAAATTTCCGTCCCATTTATTCCATGGTTTCGGCACAAGCTCTTCCTTGGCAATAATTTAATGTGCATCCCAATCAAATCAGGAAAGAGAAACCTTCAATTTGGCAGATTGCATGCGTGTATGAGTACCAATATGCTGTGGGTATTGTCATATTAGGAACAAGTAAAATAAATGATAAGTATATTGTTAAAGCACAGTTCCTTATGTAGTAACTATTATCAAAATACTTCGAACTCGTCACATATCCATGTCTTCACTAATTAAGACGATATATGTATTTTCAGGTGAAAAGAAATGGTTAAATCTGCTAGTTGGTGAGGCAGGATCCACTGGCTGCCCAGAGAGTGTAGTCAAACCACTCAGTCATTCAATCTCAGTCGAACAGCATTGCAGTCACATCAAGAATGGAAGCCCTGGTGAAGACTGTCCAGGCAACACCATCTCAACTGGGAATAAAAACCGAGGCATTCTGCCAGACACCACAGCGCCCGTGTCCTCGAGAATGCAAGAGCTGTTGGAGGGTCTGAACGAGCCTGGCGACTGTGGCAACCCCATAGAGCCCCCCTCCTGGTTAGACAGACAGCTGTTCAACCGAGGGAGAGATTTCTACCACCGCTATTTATTTTGCATGAGTTTCTCTGAAGTTTTGGCGCTCGTGTTTATGCTGAGCATGATGCGGGCGCTTCGGCCCCTCATGTACACTGGCCGCTCGGACTCCCCGCGGAAAGCTCTTCGGCGATATTTCTCGACCTTCCAGCACGTGACCGCCTGGCACGAGGGGGATGTGTGGGACCCCGCCGATCGTGCCCACAAGGACCTGCTGTCGGTGCGAGCCATACACAACAGGCTGTCCGGCGTGTTCAATTCCTCGAAGGAGCACGACAGGGTGTGGAATACAAAGATCCAGGACAAAGGCCACGAGGAACCTGCTTGCCCCTTTTACCACACCATCCGCGAGGACCTAAAGGATCAGGCAGGAGACGGGCTCCCGCTCGAGGGTCCAGACAACCCTCCCTTCTTCATCAGCCAGTGGGACATGAGTCTGACCCAGTACCAGTTCATGGGGCTGGTGGTGGCCCACCCGCACAAGATGGGCGCCGGAGCAGCCACAGACGAGGACCTGGAGGGCCTTGTCCACTTCTGGCGAGGGCTGGGCTGGCTTCTCGGGGTAGATGACAAGTACAACTTCTGCCGAGGGTCCTTGGCGGAAGTGCGCTCGCTGTGCCTGGAGGTCGAAAGACTAGTTGGCATCCCAGCGCTGGCGAAGGCAGACTGGAACTACGAGCACATGACTCTCTCCCTCGTCACGGGGTTGAGCCACCTCATGCACACGCTCTCGTTCGAAGCAGGCTTTCGTTATGTGGCCTATACTCTCGACCTCGACATTCCAAACTTCATCAACCGAATGTCCTTCATTGGCAGTGTCAAGTACTGGCTTATGCGTTCTGCTATTGGTCTCCTGTATTACTTTCCTGGATTAGTCTTTCGCCTCAGTGATATGCTGAGGGCAAAGACAGCAGACTTCAAGAATCGTCTTTCAACAAAAGGGTGAACGGAAGTGGTAGCAAAGCAGGAAATCTTTTATCCAGTAACGATGCCCTACAATTATTGATATAATTTAATAATAATTTAACATAATTCTTTAGGCTAAAAGTTGTGGCTGAGGAACTGATTTTAGAATGAGCACAACTTGCAGTGTAATATTTTGACATGGGCCAAATAGTCCAGACATCTGTCATTGTAGGTTTGAATTTAGTGAAATTGTTTCAAGGTTGTTACTAATTGGCCATGTCTGTCGTTATTAACCAATAAAAAATAAAGAAAGGCACAACGAATGGTAAGCATGTAAGACAATAGAAGTTGAAAGTGGCAGCCATGTGATAGAAATCCTGTCGTCTCTTAGTAGATGTCACTTAGCAACTCCTCACAATGCTATAAAAGATACACTTTTGACCTTTAATCCATGTATTTAGTAGGACCATGATTTAAAATTAGCAATGATAAATTAAAGCAGAATTGTACAATTTATGTCATATCAGTCATTTTCAGTATTGAAAGTACAAATGATTAAGAGAGTGAATATACTCGATATCATTAAATCTCTATTACACTAAATATCAAATCAAACCTTGACATGCAGCCTTTCATTGCCATAATTTTTTAGTCAAAATGTTTACAGTTCATTTTTCATTTACCATTTACTACATAGGCTTACACACTACCTGTAAGAAATTTTCCATAATAAATATCACTTATGCTGTACACTTCATTCCATGTTAAGAACAAGAACACCACTGTATACATTATGCGTCTACATTACCTGGATCATTAGGCATATCATAAAACCTGTTTATTCTAAATAGAAATCTCTTGAACATAGTTTCATTTTATTTACAGAACAATACATACAAATGTAATATTAAGAATTTTAAGAAATTGAAATCATATGAAATATACTTGGCCTCGGCTCCTATACGCTGTAGCTCGGAGGACACTAAACTGAATCGCAGATCATACAGTAAAAAGTTGGGTCTACGTAAGTTTAAGGGAAAAAGTCAAATCAACTCTAATTGATTCGATACCACTAGATTGGAGATATATTTATAGATAGGTAATAAATAGGAGAATAAAGTCGAAAACCTTTTTCTTTGAACGTAGACAAAATATTTGTGCAATCCGCAACCGAATCCATCGCCTGGTCATCAATGAGCCGGAAGTTTGTTCTCGTGGGTGTTTGCAGCAAAGCAATGCCGCTCCATGGATTTCTGCTGCAATTGATGCCAAGTGATTTCTTCGACAGTTTTTCACCTCGAACTTTTTTTCCAATAATTTACGGATACGCACAACGGTGGCATTTGGATCACCGAATTCGACACTGATTCACGGGGTTATGGACAAAACCAGTCGTGCTATGGCTTCCACTCATCATCAGGCAGCACTCCACTTTCCATAATTTAAATCTAGCCATGTAACCAATAGTAGGTCTCAGGCGGGTGTCGACTAGGCAGCTAAATACACACACTGATTCAAGTGGAGCTAGTCCTTGGTGGGCCTTCTTGTTGTGACTCCTCAGTTGCCATCGGCCACCAAGAGCATCTTTGGAAAAATCACTGCGGATGTGAGAGTAGCATAGGATTTTCATGTGCTCTGGTACAGCCCCAAAGCAGATAGAAGAAATCCCGAATCTTGTCGACCAAAGAAACAGCCTATGAAGTCAAGGTTGACTGGAACAATGTTAAAAAATTCTATGGAACCTTTAGTCTGACATTTCCGGGCAGACCCATTTCCGTCCAGTGCGCTGCCTGCGAGCACTCATCACAAATCCTCTGTATCATTCAGTTGATGACACTGCCGTCATCTTAGGCACTGGACTTCTTAGTAAATATTCCAAGCCATGGTAAGAGACAAAAAGAGTATCCTGTAATCCTGTGCAACGTGAATACAAACATATGGTAACGTGAACCGTATTTACGTTGACAGATGTAGAAAGGTATGGATGAGGATGAATACCTTCACAATACAAGAGATATAATTGACCGGCTTCGAATATATCTGTATTTCTGCCGAAGATATATTCGAAGCCGGTCATATGCATTCCTTGTATTGTGAAGATATTCATTCTCATTCATACCTTTCTACATATGGTAGCGTTTACACAGAAATAAAGTGAAACGCTGTTACAATATCACCATACATGTGGATTTTCGAAACATTCTGTTCCCGAGTGCATGTTGAAAAATTTTATATCGACAAGCTAAACCAATGAGGTAACAGAAAAGGTCAGAGGAATTTGGGTATGTCTTACCTGGCCGGAAGTTCTAGATTTAGCCAATTTAGTGGATAAAGAACAGACAAAGGAGTGAAAGCCTACTAGGGTAAATTCTGGTCACCTGTAGTTCATAAAAGCAAAGTTGGGTCAGCTGTAGCTCATGAGACAAAGATACACAAGTGGTAGTTTTAGAGCCCAAATTTGAGTTATTTGGTTCATATAAGATAGTATACATATATATATATATATATATATATATATATATATATATATATATATAAATATATGGTAATTTTCTATATTACGTCCGCAAGACCGATATCGACGATTTTGGTATCGTTGGATTCCTCTCACTCTCCACATTGCAAATATATAGTTTTTATTGCGCGCTAACCCCGTTTAGCGACAAACTTGGTCCCGATTGCGGGGGCGACGATGTCGGAGCGCCGGACGTAATATAGAAAATTAGCCTAATAATTTTACCTCACTGTGAAAATAATCGTAGTTATTCACATGACTTTCCATTGCAGGGGGCTGCCGCCCCCCAACCCCCGCCGAGAAACAAAACCTCCACGCGTATTCACGGCAGGATAGAGAGCACACGAACTTGATGCGGAGCCGATAACCTACAATAACCTAGGATTTTTAAGGTACTAACCTGATTTATTAATGCCGCTAATTACTAGGGAGGGTGCTCCTTTACCGCAAAATGTGAAGGAGGCAAGGTGCTTTGAGATTGCGCAAAGAAAGAGCCCACGAACATCGAAGCAGGCCAGTCACACCTCTGCCTCTTCTGTCTGCCCGCACTTGCCGCAATCTTTCTCACGACGAAGGAGGCCGTGGCGGAAGCACATATCTAGCATTTTTTCTTGGCTAATGGCAATCTCGCGCAGAAAATCCGTCTCGGAGTACGAGCACCCTCCACACTCGGCCATCGCGGCGACTATGACTGACTTCTGAACGCGACGGTTATTTCGGTTAGGAATACGAATGTCGTTATTCCAGAGGAAGAGAAACTCGACTTTGAGGCCATCGGTGTAACATCGAAAAAGCCGCAAAACCCCGCCGACGAGGGCGGGCCACCTTGTTTATCCTGATTATACTACAATCGTCTCTATATACAGTGCTGACTATAATAAGGTTAATATGCTGATTCAGTGAGAATCTTACGAGGTAATACGCCCCCTGCTCCGACATCGACGATGATTGTGTAACGCTCTAGCCTGCCGTGAATACGTGGTGGAGGTTTTGTTTCCTCGGCGGGGGTTGGGAGCGGAGCCCCCCCAGGGGGGGTCGCAGGGGGCGCAGCCCCCTGCAATGGAAAGTTATGTGAATAACCATGGTTATTTTCACTGTGCGTTATATTATTAGTGCTATTTAACCCGCATTTCCCTGGAACCTTTCATGCCCTCCCCCTGCTATCGGGGCCAAGTTTGTCGCTAATGGGGGGTTAGCGCGCAATAAAAACTATATATTTGCAATGTGGAGAGTGAGAGGAATCCAACGATACCAAAATCGTCGATATCGGTCATGCGGACGTAATATAGAAAATTACCAGTATATATATATATATATATATATATATATATATATATATATATATATATTATATATATATATATATATATATATATATATAATGAGATATATGAACCTCCTATATTGATACTGGTGAGCAGAATAGCATACTTGAATACGACTTGACTCTTTATTCTTAAGAGTTACACACTAATAGAAATAAAGACGACACGAGCGAGACTGGTCAGTGGTGGATGCCGTGTCCGCAGCTGGTCAGCGGGCGGCTGCGGGCGGTAAGCGCGGAGGCTGGTCGCTGCCTGACCGTATGGAAGTGTGTGTCTGAGTCTGAGGAAGAGGTCAAGCTGGGTCGCTCTTACATCTGATCCCGGCGGGCGGAAGCCTGACCGTGCTTGGCATGGGTCTATAGTCAGCATTATCCACGTGGCGTGGAACAGCATGGAGCCGCGTGGCTCGGTCTGTGAGCTTGTCTTATGCAATGTACCATGCAGTACATATATATATATATATATATATATATATATATATATATATATATATATGTATATATAAATATATATATATATATATAATATATATATATATATATATATATATATATATATATAATAGACACACACATGTATATATGTGTGTGTGTGTGAGTGTGTATCAGTTGAAACGTAGCATCCACATTTTTTAAAAGTTCGCGCCACACCTAAGGACGGACAGGGGAGTACAATGTTAACAGGGGAGAGAAGGCACCCGCCCAAATAGGAGGCCTCTTTAGAACGAGAGAACGCATAGCCTTACTAGAAACAAGGTCAGTGTTGTAACGGTTTGTGTGTAGAAGACTGAAATAAGTGACAGCCGGTTTAACTGTCGTAATTACAGAAAAGAGTGGAGAAATAATACCACAAAGCAGGGCGTGAAATAACAGGCATAAGAGTATACTGGTTTGTGCTGACGAAGCTTCTCCCTTGTATGGGTGCATATGAGACACGCAGTGTTGTGTAGACGAACTTTATTGATTCAATTTATCGATGTATTTTTCCATCCGTCTAGCCATCGGCGCCATTTGACCCCGCTGTTGCTGCATCTGGCGTGATTTTCGCTAATCAGGCAATCTTTCAATCCATTTAGCAAATATGTTTTGCTCAAATGCAGTTACAGTGATTAATAAGGGAAATGCTCCATAATATATGATGCAGTAACATAGCTATACATACATACATATAACGCGATGAAATGCTCAAGATACACACATGACACATGTGTATGAGCGCAACAATGTAAAATCGATCGTACAAAAATTATATATTAAATGTTAAAATGTGAAACCTTATAAGCCTAGACACCGTATTTAATACTGATACCATAATAATAAATAACAATCCCGAAAATCAAGGAAATGGGGAAAACTCGTAGATGATAGGGCTAATTGTCCTATATATATATATATATATATATATATATATATATATATATATATATCATGCATACATACATACATATCTATCTATCTATCTATATACATAGTGTGTGTGTGTGTGTTGTGTGTGTGTGTGTGTGTGTGTGTATGAGCGCAACAATGTAAAATCGATCGTACAAAAATTATATATTAAATGTTAAAATGTGAAACCTTATAAGCCTAGACACCGTATTTAATACTGATACCATGTTAACATTACATATCCATAGAAGACATCCATTAAAAATGCAGGTGTCCAGGAGCAGGTGGGGTTTAATTCAATAATGTTTGCACCAAAATGTAAAACTTTTTCATTCAGATAATGCCTGACATTGTGGTTATTTCATTTGGAACACCAGTTGCATGGGGTCACTGTTCTCAACAACTGGGTAACTTGTGGCGAGACCTTACTTATTTAGACCTTGCATCAGACTAGCGTTAATAATTTTGAATCTGAAAATCGGTTCCCACGCTCTTTCCCCAAAATAATATACGCTATGAAATACGATATTATGGTGAAACAGGGAACAAATCCTTGTGCTACAAGTTGCTCAAACGAGAAGTACAATGCGCGGTGTTATTCAAGCGGGATGCATGTGCTGTCTTTTACGGCGGTGCTTTTCGTAGTTGAAACAGTAAGCCTGGCTGGGCATTCAGACATAAGTCATGTCCTGGACAAAGACAATAACACTCGAACCGCGCCTTAAGGAATTATGTCGTTGGTTTGCTTACAGGGAATGTCCTCGGAAGTAGAGGAGGGGGGACGTTGGGTCCTGTCACATCTATTCTAGAGTGGGGTAGCCCCCTTTTTTCCTACCCTTTTGAAATGCCATGAAATGCTGATATTCCTCAACCGGGCAGGATCCGCGTCTCCAAGGTATAAAAACGTCCCCCCCTCTTTTTATATTTTCTGTTACTATTAAACATTACCGTTTTCTATGATTGCAATAATATAGGGAGAAACTCTTATATTTCAATATCACAAATTACAAATTGACACACCTGGAAAAGCATAGGATGATGTTATATGTAGGTAGTAGTACTGGAATTGAGACATGCCTAAAGTCTCATGCCTAAATTAATCAGGTTATTAATATATTTGAAACATGTAATTTCCAGTTACTTTGTTTTGAGCATTATCATTACACATAGGCGACCCCACGACTGCTCAGCCAACAAAGGGATCACTTTGCAGCCACATGTGACCTCAACCGATTTCCTATTGCTATCATTATCATACTGTTATTATGATTATTATAGTCAGCATTAGATGGATAAATAAATAACAATCCCGAAAATCAAGGAAATGGGGGAAAACTCGTAGATGATAGAGCGGTATTGGGCTAATTGTCTATATATATATATATATATATATATATATATATATATATATATATATATATATATATATATCATGCATACATACATACATATCTATCTATCTATCTATCTATATACATGTGTGTGTGTGTGTGTGTGTGTGTGTGTGTGTGTGTGTGTGTGTGTGTGTGTTATGTGTGTCTGTACATATAAATTTATGATTACATATAATTCATATATATATATATATATATATATATATATATATATATATATATATATATATATATATATATATATATATACATATACGCACACACACACACCAAACACACACACACACACACACACACACACACACATATATATATATATATATATATATATATATATATATTATATATATATATATACATATACATATACATATATATATATATATATATATATATATATATATATATATATATATATATATATATATATATATATGTATAAATGTAGCCAATCCTGCACTTAGTTCAATTAACTGTCACAGGAATTTGTAAATGCACTGACCGGGACGGAAAGAGCATGCAGCATTTCCCCAAAGCCAACATGAAGGCCATAAAATCTTATAATAAAGAGACAAGTTACAAAGGCAAGAAAATGAGAAATGAAAAAATGATCATAAAAGAGATAACCTTGTCATATATTAACAACCTCGTCTCTTTCGAGCACGTTAGGCCTTGCACGCGCGTCCCACCAGTATGTCCAGCCATAAAGAAGGGCTGTTTTTGGTCGCGTTGGCTAGTTTGTTCGTTGGTGAACAGGAACACTCAAAAAGTTATGAACAGATTTTTAGGAAATATTTACCAGAGGTGTGTCTTAGCCCAACTCTGATGCCATTAAATTATTGTAGTGATCCGGACCATGATTCGGATCCAGGAATGTTTAATGTATTGCTTCAAGTGCGAATATTTTCATTGCATCAGAGACCCTATTGCCCTGGCAGAGGTATGCGCTGCCTGAGTGCTTCTAGTTATATGCTAGTTTCGTTAAGGAAATTTCTATTAACCTTTATTTTTTTGGGGAAAAGTTAAGAATGAGAAAGAGAAGAGGCGATAGAAAAAAGTGGCCGAGACAAGAACAATAATAATAATAAGAGGAAGAACGACCAGGAAAAGGAAGATAAGAAAGAGTAAAGGAGAAAGAAAAAAAAAGTGGAAATAAAAATGAAAATAATTAGTGGAAAAAGAAGAGGAAGGTGAGGAATGAAAAGAACATTAAGAGTACGAAAAGGACGAGGAATAAGAAAAACGGTAATGATGAACATGGTAGTACTAGCAATGGGAAAATAAAGAATATGAAAAAAGAGAGAAAATCCCCCGTTATTTTATCTTATTTTTGACATGATATTTCACAATATAACACCGATTTAAGTTACGAATATTTATTTTCTTACGGCTAATAGCTTTCTCTGCATTGAAAATGTATTAATGCAATGACTAATGTTTCACATTTGTCTTAATTCACAAATGCATTAACGCTGGTTAATCAAAAGATATGCTGATGTCCGTTAATAAATTCAAAATACTTTACACGAGTTAATGTGGATTTGGTACAAACGTATTGCCAATGAGACTAGAAACATGCAGTATATATAAATGGCGAAATAATATTATATTTTCTCTGATATAAATCTTAAGTACAACCATTAAATTGCAAAGTCCCCTGGTTAAGTTTCCTGTTGCTAAACCATTAAAT